TCAAAGTGGAATCGCCTTGGGAAGTACTAGGATTAGAAATTCATGGTAAGTGTTTGAGATGAGCCTCTCCCTGGCTAACACAATAAACAGGCCTTTCCTCTGTTGTTTGTAGGAAACTTGTACAGACTGTCAATAGATACAGAAAATGTATCGCTGTGTGGGAAGCAAAATCTACCAGATTCTGCATTGAGGGACACATCAAGGGTGAATTTATCAGCCTGCTAAAATATAATCTGATCCACACAGTTTGCTGAGCTTCTGCTGTATATTTAAACAGGAGCTCTGGTTGTTCATTGCCACCTAGGATTGGGACCACACTGAAGATTTTGTAATGACAAATGTCACTGGAATGTAACAGCTCAAAGCATTTGCACTGCAGATGTAGCATTTAGCTGTGATGTTCTTTGTACTGCTCATTTTTCTGTGTTGTTTTTTATCTTCTTTGTTTGGCTTATACTATGGCCTAGATTATCTAAATCAATTGATTTAGATCAGTGGTGGGTAACCTGCAGCCCACAGGACACATGCAGCCATCAAGGCATGGCTCCCATGGCATTTTTGTTTATTGTGATCCATATGCAGGGTTGCCAGATTCCACTGGTTTCCTTCTGTGTAGTTTTTTTTCCTACTAATATGACATTCACGTAAAGCACAGGCATGTGAAGTGAGGTGTGTGCTGATTGCACGCAACATTGTGAGAGCCGTGTGCTCCCTCTGCATCCAATCAAAGCACTGCTGTGGTTCAGTTGGAACACCCTGCAAATTCTAGATACACGAGCACAGTTAGCAAAACTGCCTTAATCCGGGAAACTGTCTTGGTTATGACAGTCTTGCGTCCCACGGAGATGAAGGCAGGCCATTCCTGCAGCCCACTCACTAGCCTAGGTTGCCCATTGCTGATTTAAATTAATGCTTATTTTCGCAGGACCTTTTCCAGAGACAAGCCGGAACAATACACATATACTCACTGTAACAGACTATTTCACCAAATGGATCGAAGCCGTCCCTCTGCCGAAAAAAGATGCTTTATCTGTGGCAAAAGCGCTGGCTACAATTTTTTACAGGTGGACTGCTCTGGCTACTGACACTTTTTATTGTGTTTTGTGGATGCAATATATGTACACATCTCTCTGCTAGTAATATTTCCTACTCTGAAACCCTGGTATGGACACTATTGAGGGATTTTCAGATGCTAATGAATTCCATCTCACAAGGCCTCTGGGATACACGCATTAGTAGCTTTGTTTTCCAGAAGGGGAAACTGAGGCACAGTGTCATTTCTGGCAATTCAAGTAGTCTGTGATGGCTGGTATCCCCTGATTGCACAGGTATCCCAAGCCTGTACATTAGCTACAAAACCATTCCGTCTTCTCTACAGTGGAATAGCTACAGGGCCTGATCTTGCTCCCACTGAAATCATTTGTGGAGTGTCACCAGGAAGCTTAATGGAATATAAATTAGGCCTTAAAGAGTAGAGGAGGTCTGTGAAACTCAGAGGTTAGATTTACCAGAAGACTGGTGTAACAAGAGAAGACAGAGAGGTTCGTTTCTCTCATCCCAGATCTCCTCTACTCAGCCAAACCCATCTGCTTTCCGATTATTCTTTCCTTGATGAAAAGATGGACATAGTAAATGTTCCTTGTCCTCAAGGGAAGGTTAATTTGTGCCTGTCCTTTTAATAATGAAAATCCCCCACCTGCTGACCTTGGCTGAGAGGCCTGTGGTGAGTGATTGCTGCAGAATTTTCCCCCTGTCTAAGTCATTGCCATGGTCTGTGTTCTTTGTCCCATAAGGCAATACGAGAGCAGCTTGCAAGGAGCTGAAGGCTTGTGTTTAGTGACCGACGGTTGGGTTCTACAATTTTCTTTTCTCCTTTTTGTCCAGGTTTGGAGCATCCAAGAACATCTATTCTAGTCAGAACTGGGATTTCTGCGATGAGGTGGGCCAGACAGAAGGGCGAGGCGTGTAACAATGACATTGCTTCCAGCGGAGGAAGCTGCTTCCCTCTGTGCAGTGTCCTCTCCCAGAACCATGTGCAAAGTGCAGGATGTGGGTTTTTCAAGGGGACTTAAGTAGGCAACAGAATCCTCCCCCTGCTCTAACCCAGGTCCAGAGTGCAGGATACCCTAGGTCAGGGCTACTCAAGTTGGGAAGCCCTGGGGGTCACAATGATGCTCACAGCACATGCTGAGGGCCGCAACTAAAGCACAGTTGCATATACATGCAAATATATATGCAAATAGCGTCTTTCACACAGACGGGCATGAACAAAGATTAAGGCAAGACTACACAAAACACAGGCCCCATTTAAGTCAGTTTTTTTTATATTAATAAAATGCAATATTTCCCCCATTTCCACCCATATGACAGCCCTTTTAATGAGCAATGACAGTCCAGGAATTTAACTGCTGTTGATATGCACTTTAGAAGACTATTGTATTGACTCATCATTGTGGAGCTTGTTCCCTGTGGAGGCCACGTTCAAAGGATCCCACCTTCAAGCTGCATGTTGAGACCCACATAAACCCAAACCACACCATAGGCCTCAAGCAAGCGGGCTGCATGCAGCCTATGGGCCACATGTTGAGTAGCCCTGCCCTAGAGTAACAGCTGGTACCCTGCATATTCCCTTATGGGAGATCTTGACCAATGATTCTACAACAAGCCTGGGCAAAATACAGCCTGTGGGCCAGAACCAGCCCACCAAGGCACCAGATCTGGCCCACAGATGCTGCAGGGAGCCCCAGGCAGGCTCCCCATTTGCCTCACCCCACCCAAATGCCACTCAGAAATGCCACTGCGGGGCGGTTTTACTTTAAAAACTGTGAGCCCAGAGGGGAGGGAGGGATAGCTTTAGGAGTTGCTCCTGCCCCCATCATGATCCCATTGGCCAGCTTCTGGCCAGAAACTGGCCAGTGGGAGCTGCCTATTTCAATAACAGGCAGCCATGAAGCACATGGGGCTTGTAATTATTCACAGGGCACATAGCAGCAAGTGGGGCAGGCAGGAAGACTGATTCAGGAACAGCTGCTGGCTGTAAGTCTCCTGGCCACAGCCTGCCTCTGGCACCCCAGCCCCTTCCATCCCCAACTGACTGCCCCCCACTCCTGCCCTATACTTCATATACCTAAATCCTCTGCCCCCCCTTCTATACCCATATCCCCTCCCAGATCTGGAACCCCAATCTCCTGTCCTAGCTCACAATTCAAACCCCTGCATTCCCTCTTGTACCCCAATTCCCTGCCCTAGGTCACAATCCAACTCCTGCTCCCTAGTCCAATGTCCTAGGTTACAACTGCCTTGTTCATCCAAACTCCCTCCCTTACCCCAGGCTCCCTTCTGCACCTAACCTCCATCCCAGACCCCAGCATCCATTAATATCATATAGGAGTGCAGGTCTCAACCACTTTCCAAATTTTTGGAGTGGCCACCCAGCAAAAATTATTGCCCACCCCTGCTCTACAAAGTTGTAGCTCCATTGGCTGTAAACCTAGCTAGGCTTGCATACTGTCCATCTCCTCCACAGTGTGCAGAAGGTGAGAAGTCTCAGTAGAAAACCTGGCCATAAACTCTTCTATCACACAATGGAGTCTCACCCCACAATACATGGTTCTAGATGGCTCCAAACACAGTTATTGTTTGTTTATTGCAGAAGCTGTATGCCGCATCATTCATTCATGTGGTTCTGTACAGCTCCCAGTAAAGACTCCCTCCTTGCTCTCAAGTCCTTTCAGTCTACAGGGAGGATTTCTCCGTACAATGTTTTTCCTTAAAACTAATTCTGAGACACTGCCTACAACCACATTGCTTGACAACAATGGGGTTCGCTCAGGTATAATCTAATGTATGGTTTTCCTGCGAAAATGTATGGTTTTCCTTCATATTCCCTAGGGATGTAAGAGGTTAACTGGTTATCCACTTAGCAGTAGGCTTATCAGCTTGCTTACCCAGGAACTGGTTAACCAACCTGGCCATAGGAACCCTCCGCCTGCATCAGGCCTGACCAGCTGGACCCCATCCACATCGCAGCAGACCAGAATAGCCCACACAGTGGTTAATCAGTTAAACAAATCACTGAACTGGTTAACTATTTTAGTGGATTTTTATATCCCTAGTACTCCCTCACTTCAGTTCTTATCTGATTTTGGCAGCCACTGTCTCATAAACTGCTGGAATCCAATACCTTGAGCCTTCTGGAAGCACACATGAGATAGTGGGTGTTAAATCTGTTCCTCCAAACCACTGCCCTTTAGGGACAGCAGCACTTTTTACAGGGCTGGTTCATTGCTGAATATATTCTATCTTGGAACTCAGACCAACGTGACCTTCCACCTTCTAAGGCAGTGAGATTATTTTTGTTTGTATTAAACCATCTTGTTGTTTGACTGATGTGAGACCCTGCACTTTGCAGGTGAGCAGGCATTTAGGTGAGCGCTGGAATATCTCCCAGACACTGACTCCTGCTGACCCTGCCAATTGCCCCGGCCTGGACAACTGCACCAATGAGCTGGTCAAATCCTCCATCCAAAATGTGGTGAATGAGAAGCCAAGCGAATGGGATGACTATCTCGACCCGATTCTCTTTGACTTCCGCACGTCTGTCAGCTCCATCACTAAATACTCCCCCTTCTTCCTGATGTTTAACAGATACGTCTGTCTTTCGTCGGAGGTAACTTTTAG